GCTGACCGCATCGCCATTACATGAATGCTAAAGAACCCTTATGGTGGTAACTAGACCTTTTAGAATCTCGACAATTTCTAGGATTTTTCAGAGTCGAGACTGATATTTTCAGTGCCAGGAATATTGAGGCTGTTGAGGCTTAAGCTATTTAATTAATTTAATTAAAAAGCAACTAAATCGACAGAATTTTTATTTTACATGGATATGACAACCCTGTATAACGGAGCTTAATATAATGTGTGGAGATTGAAGAACGATAATAATACATCTTTTTCTCATTCTTACGTGCCTGCAATATTTGATTGATTTTATAATTTTAGTTAATTACGAATATTCTTACAACATCAAATTTTGACTGGCTAAATACCTAGACAATAAATACTGAAACTGTTGGAGATACTGGCTATTATAATCTAGTTCCATAAGATTTGAATTGGTTGTCATAGCAATGAGAAACTGTTGACAAAAATAATATACAACTATGTCTATGTGATACGTGCCGTGCTTTATTATTTCCTCATTAATCCACGTTAATTTCATCTGGTTCTTTCCTGGGTTGTAATGAAATACTGTTTAAATTTTTATTAATGTTGTATTGCTTATGTTGAAATGTTTTGTGTACTAGATTAAAGGGGCGTGTTGGAGATACTGGCTATTATAATCTAGTTCCATAAGATTTGAATTGGTTGTCATAGCAATGAGAAACTGTTGACAGTAAAATATACAACTATGTCTATGTGATACGTGCCGTGCTTTATTATTTCCTCATTAATCCACGTTAATTTCATCTGAAACTAACGTTTGAAATATTCCCAAGTTTATTTTTTCGTAGGATTTTCGAGACTTCATGTTGCCTCGAATTTTTTTCTCGAAACGCGGAAATGCAGCAATACTGAAGACCCTAGTGGTAACGCTTTGATTTTGATGATAGTACCTACCATTTTTTTAGAGTTTTAACGGCTTTGGCGGAAAGCTATACACCCAAGACGACAGTGACAGTCGCTAGAGTCCTCGTCAAACATACTCATAGAAATATCGTTACTAAAAGTTTGAATTATGATACCGACATTCATAATACATATAATGTCGTGAACCACTGACCACATAATCAACGACGATAGACGTTTTTTTTTTTCAAAAAGTTAAACGTTTTGGTATGTGGCCAGGTTGTTGAACATTGTTATTATAATTCAACCTTTTTAGCCGACTTCAAAAAAAGTTTTTTTTTGTATAACGCGTAACGCAATAACTTACGAATTCCGGTATAAACCTATAATTTATAAACCGATTTTGAAGATTCTTTTTTGATGGATAGAACGGTATCTCAGTAGTAGTCTCATTTAAATTTGAAGAACATATTTCACCTGTAAGGCTGGCAAACTAGGGGATGAATAACTTTTGAGGTCGGTTTTTTTTATTTAGCTATTGTAATTGACACAAAGATCGAACAAATTCGAAGAAAAATTGCTTTGGATCCAACTGGACACGAACCAGCGACACTTTCGCCTAACGCGGACTATCGCTCTCCCAACTAGGCTATGTTGCTTTTCGAGCTTTTTTTAGCCTTCTTCCAAATACGTCCTAATAGTAAAGGTACAGATTGTTAGATGTTTTCGTAACATAAACAAGTCACATTGAATATAGTATTGACATAATTTTTTTAATACAGTTGCTCAAAACGTGGTATTTTTCGCACTACAAATCGTGCGGAAAGTTGGATTTCTCGCACTAGTGCTTTTTACTTTTCCAGTTTTTTTTAATTTACTGTTGTTTGAAGTCTTAAACATAGAACTAAAGAAGTTGTATATTTATTTAATATTCATGTGCTTTGGGACGTACATAAGTCATTCGTCATTAAAACTCATATTTATTTACAAATACTATATAATGAACGTATCGAGTGGAGGTCCACAGTCTCTGCCTACTCCTGAATGGGTGACAGGCGAGATTTTTATGTATATATTTGTTCTATGTATTACAGATAAATTGTATCTCACTACCGTGCGCGGGTTCCTAAAGAAGTTTAAACAAAAGTACCAGGACTTCATAATAAGAAAAGTGGTTACAGACCGATATTACAGAAAATAAACAAAACAGCACGTTAGAACTAGATTTCCATAGACTTTTAACTAATGGTTGCAGTGGTTGTATTTCATTATTTTAATTTACTAGCAGAAAATGAGTTTTGTTTAAATACTGTTTTATTTTACTTTCAATGTAGTTTTTTCGCAAATGTATTAAAAAACGTCGTTTGATACACGTGCAGATTTGTCATTTTCTCTTGTCTCGCGTCTTGACCCTCGCCTCTGGCTCGGGCCAAGAAGCCTCGAGACTCGTGACTAATGACTAACTTTCCGCACTTATATCAAAAATAACTATTATATCGTTTTTAAACTTATGCCGTATTACACCACACATTACATGAGATAAGCTCTCATAATCCGTCTCTTTGTCTTCAACTTATTAATATTTTTTAACATAATGCCATTGTGTTTTCATAATATATTTTCGACATCTCTAAAATTTCACAATTTTTTTTTACAATAAGTCTTTTGAATAATTTATGATGGATAATAAAAATCTCGGTCAGTTATTGTCTAACTTGCGTATCTATTGTCTACAAGTCTTTACAATGTCTTTCAGATGTTATTTAATACCTAGATTATTTAGTAACTAGGAAGCATTCACAAATATTTCTTTTAGGAAACTCTCACGATTAACTTAATTTCGCAGATTTCACATATTATGCTGTTGCAACGTACTTTCTAGAACACTTAGGCATGCCTGTGTTCTATTTCATTAGTGTCGTTTATTCGAGGACCCTAAGATGTCTATTATAATTTTAATAAAAATGGCAGTAAATTATTTTGCTACTCTGTGAAGCAAGTGAAGGTTACATTTTTTTAAATAATAATAATATTAAGTGACGGGACGAACAAGTCCTGCGCCTGATGGTAAGCTACACGCCTGTCCATAACAGTTTCTGTACCACTCAGAGCTTTAAATCGCAAAGATCTGAGGGGCACTGCCACTGTGGCCATCACCCTGAGACATAAGTTGACAAGTCCCTTGTGCCTGTAATTTCACCAGCACCCTTACCCTTCGAAACCGGAACACAATGCTGATATTACTGCTTGGCGGCAGAAATAGATAACGTGACTATACTAAACTAAAAAACTAAAACTCTTTCACAAGGAGCTCTACTGCTACTAGAAATAGCTGCGCTATTTCTTTCTTTTTATCCAAAAAATTAAGAGATTGTCTGGGAAACCCAAGGGCCGGAGCTACCTTGCCCAACGCTTTAGTTAGTTTCTAGTATTTAAGCTTATATTCTATCTTGTCTGCATATTTTAACTTATTGTCTAATAAAGAATTTGTGATACATTGCATTGTAAAAAAAAATATCTGCGCTTGTATTTTTTTTTCATGCAGTTAATTTTGACACCCTCTCTCCGCATAAAATTAAAAATTAAATAACACAAGCGCAACGCCAATGCGCACGGTACTAAATACTATAAAGAACAGAGGCGGATAAAAGATTGGACATTTGATACGACACGACAACTTCTTTAAGACCAATTTAGAGGGAAAAATCGAAGGGAAGAGGGAAAGAAGTCGACTAGGCGCAGCTACAAAGACCAAACAAAGGAAAAGGCCTGTGTCGTGTCATATGAGTAGGTCAAGGGGCTGGCTTATAGGAGAGATGATTGGAAGATGCTCCACCAACAAAAATATATCTCTTAAGTTTAATTATGATGAAGCGCTACAGTCACGAACTTCAGCACCAAAAAATGTACTCAACATGTAGTTCGTCTCTATAAGAGGCATAAGTGGCAGTACTTCCCTGGACGAACTCTATCACTGGAAGATCTACTACTACTAATGTGGCAGTACTTTTATCATAAATGAGTGATAAGAAATTAGTAAAAAGCGTGTCAAATTCAAAAATATGTATTAAAAACATTGACTTACAAATAAATGGACGACGGGTCTAATACAAAAACCACGAAAAAAAAGTTCCAAGTCAACCTATTTGAACGTAGTGCCATGTAAAGGAATATGAAAAAGCTAAAACGTTGAATTTAAATTTGCTTGCTTCGCTATCAGTCGAACAAACGAAGACTAAAGCGTGAATGACGCTCTGTATACGATTTTAACGCCCTATAAGTTGGGACACTTTTTAGCGCGGACCCGACGTCCATATAATTGTAAGTCAATGATTAAAAAAGTTAGTATTTCGAATTTGAAGCTGCTATCCACGATCCAACACAGCTTGTTGAAACATCTCCGGAACTATAAGTCAAATCTATGAACTTAATAAATAAATAAATTATCATTTAAATTATTCCGCCATGTCATTTGACGTCGTTAACCTGCAGTTAAGAACAGAATAATCATCAAAGAAGTCGCCGCATTTTTTATTTGCAACTTATTGTGTATTGTTCATGCACAATAGTTTCGTAACGGCGGTGGAAAAACTTACCATTGTGTAATACGAGTTGTTAGCTTTTGCTACATTGCTCGTCTACAATGTTTGCACTCTCATGTAATAGCTTTCTTTAGGTACCTATACCTAGTACTATTCAAGGTATACTTGTAAGGCAACACAAGTGAAGTAAATAATAAGAAGTACTGCCGTCTTACCTATTTCTGCCGCCTAGCAGTAATGTGACCAATATTCCGTTTTGGCTTTGAAGGGTGTTGGTGAAATTACAGACACATGGAAATTTTCAAGTTATGTCTCAGATTGACGGGCGCAGTGGCAGCGCCCCTCAGCTCTGCGATTGTAAGTTCAGAGCGGTATTGCAATTGTTATTAACAGGCGTGTCGCTTACGAACAGGCGCACGACTTGTTCGTCCCATTGCTTGATATCAGAAAAAAACCTTCACTGGAGTCGCGGTGTGAACTCTTTTTGCGTCGAGGTTTAAAAATGTAAATCCAAATGTTTTTGTACTTTATGAAAATGACACGAACTTACGATTGTTTTGTATTGTTTCAGAATACGACGACGTGGTTATCACTAGTTTTAGCCATCATCACATTTGCGACGCCAGGTAAATATTGCTAGAAGCTTTATTAATAGATTGATAGATGGATAGATTAAACGTATATTATTATAAAAGAAGAAACAGACACAAAACAGAAAATAAAATGTGCAGTGTAAACGAACAAATAACAAAAAACAAATACAATAAATATATATGTATATGAACATGACAAGCAGCTGCTTACCTAGTACATATGTATCAGTAGACATGATATTCAATTGTTTTTTTTATGAAATAACTTCACTAGTTTGTTATTAATTATAATAAAAATAGAACAGAAAGTAAATTTCTGGTCTTGAACTAGCGACCTCGCCGTGCCGTGAAGGACGCTCTCCCAACTTACGAATTTCCCTATGTGCTAAATGCAGGTCTTTGTTTTTAGTTCTAATGACTATTTTACCGTAGCGCGTAGTAAAGTCTGCTGGTTCGTCCCGTAGCTCAGTTGGAAGAGCGTCAGTCACGGTCGCTGGTTGGAGTCAAGACAGATTGAAAGAATTTTGCAAAACAATTATTATGTATTCGTCAGTAGTAATATATTTGAACGGAAAAGTGATTGAGGAACCCAATTTTTTTTCTAAAATTGTTAGTTGAGTGCAGAGATGGGGAAGCATCCGAGTTTGAAACCAGCACTTTGTTAACGCTGGGTTAAATCAGGTGATTTAACCCCACTGACGCTCAAAGTCGTGGGCAAAAACTACTTACAACTAAATATTTGTTGTAAGTCGAGTTTTGTTTTTATGATATTATTACAAAATGTTTATTGCTTTCTGAGCTGATTCGGTTTGCGTTTCTATTGAATCCATTCGTATGAAAATCATATTGAAATAAATCCATACAAAAAATCGTTAGTTCGTATGAGTCGATCTTCACAAAAATCGAATCATAATGTGCATCTTTAGTAGTGAGAATATACAGCATTGCATAACGGGCATTGTGTGAAGTTGCCTCATTTTCGTCTAAAAACTTTTTTTACATCGAAATTTGTAATAAGTATGGAATTACATTTAACTGCCTCCGTGGCCGAACGGTTACCATGCCGGACTGCCACGCAGAGGTCCCAGGTTCGATTCCCGGGCTGGGAGATTTGTTTGTATTGTACAATTATTTCTCTCGTGAGTTTGGGTGTAATTTATGATTGTCTATGTGTGTCCATGGCACCCGCGACACAGGGTTTCCCTAGTGCGGGGCTATGTTGAGTGTTTGCGTTATTTATTTATTATTTATTTACATTAAATTCCGTACTAGCCGGTTCTGCCCATGGTTGTGGGCAGTAATGGGTTAACTTGAATGAAAAACCTGGTTAAAACAGGAATAACAATAACAGCCATGAAGCATTTTCATAACACTACGTGTAGTTCTAATATGGCGGTTTATATTAAAGGCGCCTGCGCACCGTTTGTGGGCGTCACAATGGTTGTATTGTACCAGCGGCGCTGAGACCCTCTCGCCAACGCAATCAGCGACCGGCACGGATGACCTTCACGTGTCGCGCTACCTTTGTTCTTAGCTTTATATATGAATATCATAGTTTAAGATGCCTCACCGACAGTTTATAGTATAGTTTTTGTTGCGTAGCTTTGTTTCTTCATAGTTCCACAATACTGGATTTCATTCCGATATACAATTAAAGCTAATTCAGAGTGCACTAAGTAATAGGTGTGAAAGTAACAAATATTTAAAAATACATCTAATATTTAAGTACTTAACCCGTTTAAGCCAGCGTGTACTATATAGGGTGTAATTATATAGGGTGGCTGCAGTGGAGATGAAGTGAAGACGAGAAAATATGATAAATAGCTATATTAAATTTCCATGAATGTATTTCTTAAAGATCAACTAAATAATTTTAAGAATGTCCGAAGTTAGGTACGTTAGGTCTATAATCTCAGTACAGAGTATTAAAAAAAACCGACCTCAAAACTACGTGGAATTACATCATACAAGTTTTATTGAAATATCCCCTAGTTCGCCACTATACAGGACTTGACACAGGAGATAATAAAAATCGGTTCTCACTACTCAAAGTATATTGAGAGAGAAAAACGCCTTGAATTTGAGAATAGCAAAAGCCACCATTAGAATAATTGCTCCTTAACTTGATAAGTCAATGCTCCTTAAGTAAAATTTAGGCGCTATTTATAAAAATGACCGTCCATGCGTGATCAGCTCCCTTAGAGGTGGATGATTTTCTTCAAAATGAAATGGGACCACTATGAAGGTACCCTCTTTCCAATAAAAAAGAGTCATGAAAATCGGTTCACAAATACCGTAGTTATCGCGTAACATACAGACAAAAAAAAACATACAGTCGAATTGAGAACCTCCTCCTTTTTTTGAAGTTGATTAAAAAGTACATATAGAAAAAAGATCTTAAACTAAAGGAATTTTGTCTACGTCCGATGTTAGGAACGTTGGGCTGAAAAGTGTCTCATAATTCTAATTCTAAAGATGAGTTTTGCTTCGGTCACGTTGCAATGCACGGGGCGCGCGTTCCGGGGTGCGCGAATGCAAGTGCATTGACCTGACGTTTTAGGTATGTGTGCTATGTGCAAATCTTGATACATAACAAGCATTAGTACACGCAATTTCCCTAGTGCGTTTTTATTATTATTATCCATTGACTTACAATTATATGGACGTCGGGTCCGCGCTAAAAAGTGTCCGAACCTATAGGGCGTTAAAATCGTATACAGAGCGTCATTCACGCTTTAGTCTTCGTTTGTTCGACTGACAGCGAAGCAAGCAAAATTAGACAGTACTGCGATGACATTACAATTTAAATTCAACGTTTTAGCTTTTTCATATTCCTTGACATGTCACTACGTTTACATATGTTGACTTGGGACATTTTTTTCGTGGTTTTTGTATTAGACCCGTCGTCCATTTATTTGTAAGTCAATGTTATTATCCATAACAGTTGCAGTGCCACTCAGAGCTTTAAATCGCAATAATTTGAGGAGTAAATACCACTGCTCCGGTCGTCCTGAGACATAACTTGACATGTCCCATGTAATTTCACCAGCACCCTTACCCTTCCAAACCGGAATGCAATAATGCTGACATTACTCGTTGGTGGCAGAAATAGGTAAGGTGGCAGTATTTCCCTGGACGAACTCTTACATTTAATGACGGGAGTTACGTTTCTGAAATAATATAGTGCTGATTACATGTATGTTTCGAAAAGATGTCTGTAATCATGTGCCTGCCAATTATCTCTACAATGTGGACTCTTATTGCCTCATTTATTAATGTAAGCACAACGACATCATCATTAGGTATAAAGATAATAACATGCATTTAGCATTATGAAAGTAAGCCTTGCAATAACTGTTTGGTAACACCTATAATTGATCTCTTTTTAGATCGGTTAAAATTTATAGGCTGTTACATTGATTTGCTAACGCTACAAATTACATTGATTTGAAAAAAAATGAACGTATATTTAAAAAAAATGGCAGTGTAATATTTTGTGCTAACGTCAAAATAAAAGATTAGAAAACGAGGGATGGAAAACCAAAAATAATAATAATAATAACGCACACACTCAACATAGCACTGCTGGAAACCCTGTGTCGCAGGTGCCATGGACACACACATAGATAAACATTTCTCCAAGTCCAGGAATCGAACCTGAGACTACCTCTGCGTGGCAGTCCTGTGTGGTAACCGTTCGGACACACAGGCAGTTAAAAAGGAAAGAAAAAGTGAAAGTAGATTACTTTGTTACACCGTAAACCGTTGATTTGAATATTTTTTCCATGCAGTTAATCCTCCCTTTACATAAATTTAATAACATATTCTTTATGATTCCAAAAGACAGGACGAACAAGCAGTGCGCCTGATGTTAAGCGACACGCCTGTCCATAACAGTTGCAGTGCCACTCAGAGCTTTAAATCGCAAAGTTCTGAGGAACACTGCCACTGCGCCTGTCACCCTGAGTCATAAGACAAGTCCCATGTGCCTGTGATTTCACCAGCACCTTTAACCTTCAAAACCGAAACACAATAATGGTCACATTTCTGCTTAACGGTAGAAATAGGTAAGATGGCAGTACATCCCTGGACGAACTCTTTCACAAGGAGATATACGGTTACTAAATAATAAATAACACAAACACAACTTTTCCCTTTAACAATCTCCGTGGCCGAACGGTTAACGGTATGTGTGTGGCCATGGCACCCGCGATAAAGGGTTTCCCTAGTGCGGGGCAATTAGTATCTGCGTTATTATTATTATAACCAACAATAACAAACACCACCACCAAAAACATATCCGACACGCGTTTCGCCGGCGCGAGGAACCCTCTACTTTTATTTTGCATATATTATCCTTCACTGATTTCACGAATTAGCTAAGTAATTTATTTTCATTTTTATAAACATGGAATTCCGCAAATTAGCGCCGGAATCCATTAATTAATCTAGAAGGAAAGGAAACATTATCAGAAGAGCTGTAAATGCAATAAATTAATATAAACTGTTTAGGTGGTAAACGGTTTCCCTGAAGCCATTGACTTACAAATAAATGGACGACGGGTGTAATACTAAAACCACGAAAAAAATGTCCCAAGTCAACCTATTTAAACGTAGTGACATTTCAAGGAATATGAAAAAGCTAAAACGTTGAATTTAAATTGTAATGTCATCGCAGTACTGTCTAATTTTGCTTGCTTCGCTGTCAGTCGAACAAACGAAGACTAGAGCGTGAATGACGCTCTGTATACGATTTAACGCCCTATAAGTTCGGACACTTTTTAGCGCGGACCCGACGTCCATATAATTGTAAGTCAATGCCTGAAGCGCTAATTTTTTTTCTCAACCTTTTTCTTATTTTTACACTATTTTTAAACATTTGCGCGCCTGTTAAACGTAAGCCACCCTCATTTATTAGCTTTGTCAGTCCTGTCACGCCACTGCGATCGCATCCAACTAAGTAGGACAATCGCTACGGCTACGAATAGCTGACAACGCTCTGGGATTACTATCACCGAACATAACATACTTAGGTTATATTAAGATCATTTGTACTTTAGAATTTGATGTAGTTAGGCTGGCATTAGAATAAAAGTTTTTTTTATCAAAACTCGTCTCAGTTAATTCACGTATTTTTTTTCTTTTTTACAATTGAAGCATTGAGTGTAATAAAGGCGTATCATGTAAAAGTGAGATTCGAGAAAATTGATAATGAAGTTGTAATGTCTTATGTCTTTTAAATGTTTATAATATGACTCTTGTAACAAGCTACTTTATGTAATAGACGGCCTTAAGCCAGATTGTTCACTTTCAGTTCTCTAAGAATCCGCTAGATGGCATTGACCCATTTGGCGTTATTTCTGAATCGCGGTGTTAAGAGTTTCCCTCGAATGGTGCCTACTCGAACACAATTTTATTAATGTGAAGAGAAATCTGAGAATACAGAGAGCTCAGTAAGGCAACCAGGAGTTGAGTCCCTTCTTGGAAACTGCTACCCGGATCTTCTGATATTTCGTACGCTCATATAGGGTGAAAAACCTCATCCCGCGGAACGGTTTCCAGGAGTTGAGTCCCTTCTGGGAACAACTGCCCGGACCTTCCGCATATAGGGGAAATTGTATTGGCGACATACAAGGAGGTTGGAGTTTTACTTGGTAACCTCATCCAACGGACGAAAGAACCTCCCTCCTTTACACTCTTATATACTTTATTGTATATTTGTCCTACGACGTAGCTAAAAGATTTAAGTGAATATTATTATTTGAAAACAATTAGAAACATTTGAAAATATTTTATTTTTCCTTGCGCAACCCGCCCTTGTTGCACTAAACCGGTAAATTAATGGGGCGTTCGTTTCATTATTCGTTTTTGAGGAAATGAATTGTGAATCAGTCTTATTTAAGTTTTTTCAGTGTAATTGAAAAATATTTGAACGTATTTTTAATCATTCATTAAATTCGCCGGATTGAAATGAACCAACAGTATCATCTTCAGCAGGTCTCACTGGTCTCCTAGATGCTCTATATTGAGAGTGAAGTCGCTCGTTTCAGACTTTTTTTACATTAAAATAAGTCTTTACAAACTGCAGGTGGTAACGGATTCGAAATTCAAACGCACATTTATATTCTATGCCACAAGGGCGAAGCGCCAAATTCCAAATGAATGAAAATTACGCCATCTAGAAGGGAGATCGAAATTAGTTTTTGTAATAATCTTTTGATAACTTCTAGATAACTACATAGTGTTTTATACATGCTTTGATGCAATAACATAAAAACAGGTTTAGAGTGCCGAACGGCCCTTATTGTTCCCAATGCTTCAATTATAAACATTCAAAGGTCATCCTTTCCCACCAATTATCTCACACAAGTCACAGGGCGATATTAAAAATTTGAGCTACGTCACGACCTGTAGAATTGTGGTCAAAATTATAGTATAATATTACATTCAAAATTTTACAATTCAATATTTTCCCACAGACATGGTGACTTTTTTAATCAAATATTTCGGTTAACAGATGGAAATTCAAATTTGGAGCCTCGTCATGATCTGTAGAATTGTATTTTTTACGCTAGTTTAAAGTTTCGTGCATATCGGTTGAGGAATGACCGAGTATTTCCGTCTGCAGATCGTTCAAATTGAATGAATGCCAAGAAAGCTTCACTCACTCCGCTACTTGCACGTAAATAAAGAATATAATTTGAAGTAAATACAGAAATTTATTTTTATAATGTATTTGGCCTCTTCAAACTTGTATTAATATCAAGTCTTTTTTGTATTATCAAGTGACTGGACACGTCTATATTGCCCTGATAAGCCGAAAAGCTATCGCGCTATCTCAATCGGAATAAGTTTTGAGAAAATCGCACCTTCAAAAATAAATCTCTTTGAAGATGTTAAAACTTGTTTATACGTATTTTTGACTAATAGATTTATTGATATACCCAAATTATCCATAAATTGTACCATTATACTTATTTTGTGAGATACCGCAATTTTGACTATAAAGAAAGCCGCCAAATCTATTCGTAATTTAAGGAAAAATTGAGATATGCAAATACTTCTTACAGGTTTCTTAAATGTTTTAAGTAAGATAACGCTATTTTTATTATAGTACTATTAGATGCGAAGTTATTATAGGTAGATAGATAGATAGATAACACGTTTATTCAGCACAAATACAAACAGAAACAAAACATTTACAATCACTTCACAGAGTATAACATAAAAGCACATAGAACATTCATTATTAATTTTATACAATTTATATAAGACACACACTGTGAGAAAAACAAACAAATACTATAAGAACTGATAAAATTTTAATATATCTGCTGAAATGGCCCTGACGCAGCATAAATACTGTAGACCGAGATAAGTTCAACAGAGCTGGTTTTCTGCCAGTACCATATGGTGAGCGATCGCAGCCCAATAAACCATGCCACCAAAGTGCATCACACGCAAATATATATACCTAACTCTAAATACTATACATATATGTGTATATATCAAGCAAAAGTGTAAGATGTAAAGCAAACAATGTAAATAGTGTAAGTAATGAAGGTAAGCAATATAAATAATAATGTAAGTTTACAAACATAATATTAAATGATAACAATAGCCACCAAATATGAGTATGTATAGGTACGGAAATTTAGGTTTACAGGTATCAAACGTATTGATTAGGGAAATATTTATGTAGCGAGACATCTGCTCTGACAAAAGATGTTTTTTGTATTCACGCTTAAATTGTTTTTTATTATTGATGTCACGCAATGGAGGAGGAATATCATTCCGACACTTACTGGCGCAGGTATTGAATAGCATTAAAAAAATTCAAAGGGCGTATCTCAGAGATAGCGCCTTTCGACTTAGCAGGGCAGTATGTGTCACTCAGAGCTATAAATCGTAAACATTTGAGAATCACTGCCACTGCGCCCGTCACCCAGAGACATAACTTGATATGTCCCATGTGCCTGTAATTTCACCAGCACCCTTACTTACCCTTCAAAATCGAAACGCATTAATAATAAATAACGCACACACTCAACATAGCCCCGCACTAGGGACACCCTGTGTCGCGGGTGCCATGGACACACACATAGACAACCACAAATTACATCCAAACTCACGAGAGAAATAATTGTAGGCCATACAACTATTTCTCCCGGCCCGGGAATCGAACCTGGGACCTCTGCGTGGCAGTCCGGCATGGTAACTGTTAGGCCACGGAGGCAGTGGATATAATTAATGCTGACATTACTGCTTGGCGGCAGAAATAGGTAAGGTGGCAGTACTTCCCTGGACAAACTCTTTCATAATAAGCTCTAATGGTACTAAAAGTCTATTTATGGTACCTATTTTCTTTCTTATGCGAGAATAATAATATTAATCAACAGGATAAACATTTCTAAATATTTTTTTGTAACAGCCATCAGTCTTAAAACGCAGTGGTAGGTAAACTAGTTCGTCACACTGTAGCTGAATTTACTTAAGACTGTGTCTAAACTCCTGTGGTACATTGTAATGATACGCTAATTGTACTCGGTTTCTTTCATAAACTGGTTCAGATGTTTTTGCAACGGTGGCAACGTGTAGTGTTTTGTAAATTTTAACACGGTGGAATGACAATTACGAATCTCAGTCTTTTTTTGTATCGAAATCAGTCTTGTTAGACGGATTTATTCTTCTTCAGGGACATCGTTTTTCATAGATGGCAGCATATGAAGTTGAACACTGACTATATATTTTGATATAAATTATATACAAGACCCGTCAATGTGTACCTTGATGTGCTACCGTCTGTACTTCAAAAGTTAACTTACGAATATTTTAAGTAATTATGATTTATATCTTTAAAAAGGTATTCTTAATCTAATTACATATATCTATCTACTCGAGTATTAAATATTCTTTATTGCACCAAATAAATACAACAGAAATATTAATTTAACAGAATTATAGAATAGAATAGATTAAATAATATTATAAAAATAAATCCTTAACCTTGACCATGTCACATTATATTAACTTAAAATACGCGGCATTGGATCGAATTGTATATATGTATAAATATAATTTCTTATAAATTTTATAAACTTAATTGAGGATGTGTGTACTTATCTCTCGTCTTACATTATAAACACCTTAACCTACTCTATATAACTTCCTTCTTATATAACTGCTGTTGTATTTAGAAATAAGATTAATATTAAGATTGATAAATTAGATGTAGTACAGATATGGATGTAGAAGAGCGGAGTGTCCTTTTTTAAGGGGGCAAATCTTTAAAAATACCCCTGAGCCCAGGGAGACTCAGGGGTTATGTGGGGACTCTCCCTCCAGACTGGAGGGCCTACCCCACTAAAACCCTCCCGGGTTTCACATGCACATTCACCACGACGCCGCCCGCCCGCCCTGGCTTGCGCCAGCCTCGACAGCGAGAGGTCCTTCCCTATTGTCCCCGTCAAGGCATGGCGCTGCTCATCCCACCGTGTGCACACCTCTAGGGTGTGCTGCGCGGTGTCATCCGCAGCGCCGCACTCGTGGCACGACGGGGACGGTTCCCTTCTTGCCACCTTGTGAAGGTAACGACCGAAGCAACCATGCCCGGTCAGCACCTGCACAAGGTGGTACGACAGTGGCCCGTGGGACCGGCTCACCCACTCTATGAGGACAGGACGGATCGCCCCTATGGTACGAGCTCCATAGGGGGGATACGCCAAGCCCTCTTTCCACCTCTTGGGGAGCGGGGCGTTCGACTCAGTCCCTCGGCTTCAAGGTCCCACGGCGGAGTACCGGCGAGGACGCATGCGGCAGCGCAGGCCACCGTCATGTACGCCCTGCACATTCGCAGGGCGACCCTCTGAGGCCTCCTATTATACTAATATTTTTTCTTATTTCTTCGGCATGTTTTTAGGTATTCGGTACTCGGCCTTACAGCAGAAACCAGGCTGCGAAAATGCCAAATAGTGGCAGAAAATTTTTTGCAATTCTAATATTAACCTGTTCCCTTCCAGGACTATCGAGTGAGCCACGGGTGGTGTGCTACTATACGAACTGGTCGGTGTATCGACCGGGCACGGCGAGATTTAACCCTCAGAATATCAACCCCTACCTATGCACGCATCTCATCTACGCCTTCGGTGGTTTTACGAAAGACAACACGCTCAAGCCTTTTGATAAATATCAGGACATTGAAAAAGGTAAAATATATTGTATTACAATGTTAGTAACAAGGAGTTATAAAATGTACCTGTTTCGCAAAGAAAAAACTTTTTTTTAATGGCTTATAAACGTTTTTTCTTCAAAAATCCAACATTTTGGGCTACATCTGCAAAATGACAACTTTTCAGACAACGAAATTAGTCGACGTGTGAACGAATTAATTATATATAACGGGACCATCGTTTTCTTCCTTCAAGGCGGGACGCGTGCAAAATTATTGTTTTAAAAATAAAACACATGTTTGTGACAGTTACAAAATGTTTAATGATTAAAAAAAAATTAAAAAGATTTTAAAACATTTAATGATCAAAAATTAAAATAAGAACTAATCTTGTGTAGTGTGGGTATTTGGCGTTATATATTTTCGGACGAGTAATGCTTTTTGTTTTAATTTGTCTGGTTTCGTTTTTAAATATGTTCCACGGGCCGAGATCGGCACTGTCATCGATTCATTCTTGCCAAAAACACAAGTATGTAAAAGACGCGGGCGATTTGGCTTACTTGCTGCTACGCTTTCTGTGGTTCAGTGCGGGTTTTCAGTGAACCCTTTAGGAAATGGCCGATTTAAACAAATTGAGTAAAAAAATTAAAGTAAAAAAATATGTGGACGCCAGTTAAATACAACATAATTAATATAATAACAATAACGCACACACTCATAGACCCGCACTAGGGAAACCCTGTATCGCAGGTGCCATGAACACACACGTAGACAACCATAAGTTACATCCAAATTCACGTACGTATATAATACACATAGAAATAAATGTAGGTCATACAAATATTACTCCCGGCTGGGAATCGAACCCGGGACCTCTGTGTGGCAGTCCGACATGATAGCCGTTCGGCCATGGAGACAGTTATGAATTAACAAATATAACATGACATAATGCTTACAGTGTTTTCAAGTTCACTCTGTCTTCATGGATTTTGTGGGTGCGTTACACAAATAAATGTGTTCCAGGCATGTTTTGTAGCATTAATATGGCGCTCATTGAGTTCACTTTATAAAGTATAAACGGAATATGAAAGACTAAGTAGAATTATATAATAAAACTTGTTTCTACATATATTTACACCATTTTTGTATTGTCCAGGTGGCTACGCGAAGTTCACCGGACTGAAGACTTACAACAAAAAACTTAAGACGATGCTGGCTATTGGCGGATGGAATGAAGGGTCCACACGCTTTTCACCCATGGTCGCTTCAAAAGAACGACGAAGGGAGTTCGTCAGGAACGCCATCAAGGTAACGAACCTATTTACTAACACCTTTCACTTAATATTACCTTTTTTAATTTGATTTGAGTAAATACGAGAAAATGAAGATCGCACACTCAGAAAAAATTCCTTCGATCCGGCCGGATTCCCGCCGACGTCTTCTAGCATACCATGCCAAACGCTATACCAACCTAAGCCAAGGAACGAACCAGCGGGCCTCACGAATTTTTCTATGTGTTTGTTGTAGTGCCTTTGTATTTGGTTTTTCAACGACTTTGTAGCTGCAGCTGTATCTTTGTATTAATAATTATAACAAACTAGTGGAGTAATTTCACATAAAAAATAATTAAATATCAATTCAATAAAAATTTATAGATAAAATTAAATTAAGGTATATACCACAATTACCGCTAGCCGCAACTGTGTGAACCGATGTCACTATACACATGACAATAAAGAGGTTACAGTTAATGTGGACTTTACGCAAGTCAACACAAGTATTAAGGCGAGAGTGAATAGGCATTATTTAGGTGTGCACCCAAATGCGCACTTGTATGTTATAAAAGAAAAAGTATCTAACCCCTATTTATTCATAATTTTCATACAGTGCTTGTACTATTTTAAAGTAGCAGGTAGATACACAAAAAAGTAAGAAAGTTTATAAATAGAAAATATACTTACCCTGGGGCATCGTGCCCAGAAGGCTGGCAACATTTCCCCTTTGAATTGTATTCTTTGGCGTAAATAACTGCCAGCCTTCTGGTCACCGTCAGATTTTTCTTACCGCTTATTATAATAAATAAATAAATAAATAAAGCACACACTCAACATAGCCCCGCACTAGGGAAACCCTGTGTCACGGGTGCCATGGACACAGACATAGACAACCACAAATTACACCCAAACTCACGAGATAAATAAATGTAGGTCATACAAATATTTCTCTCGGCCCGGGAACCGTCCGGCATGGTAACCGTTCGGCCACAGAGGCAGTTAAATTATTGAAAATAATTCTTTTTTTATGATATAAAATGACGGGATAACAAGTCGTGCGTCTAGTGGTAAGCGACACGCCTGTCGATAACATTTGCAGTGCCACTCAGAGCTACAAATTGCAAAGATCTGAGAGTCATTGCCAATTCGCCCGTCACTCTGAGACATGAGTTAACAAATCCCATGTGCCTGTAATTTCACCAACACCCTTACCCTTCCATACCGGAACGCAGTAATGCTCGCAGTACTGCTTGGCGGTAGAAATACGAAAGATAGAAGTACCGATATGTACTTCTCTGGACGAACTCTTTCTTTAAATAGATGTAAATAATAGCTTTACTAATTGCTTTTGTGTATACAAAAGCACTATTGCATTAAATAAATTAACTTTTAATATCCATAAAATGCAGTAATTCATCAAAACTTAGAAAGATTACGTCGTTGTACATATATCTCTACAATTCCCACACTTGTCGGCTCTTTCGCTGACTATTCATCGCTCAGTAGAATACAGAAGTCATGAAAAACGCATTACGTGAGTTTATCACGCTTCGTGTAATAGCAAAGGTCGGTGATCTCCCTCACGTCATTTCACGTTTTATTTTGATGTGTTACTTACTGGTAGAGATCATGCTTTTCTCACTTCCGTCACGAGATTCTAAAAATATAATTTTACATATTGTTAGGTTGGATTTAGTGGATTTTGCGTATTTAAATATGGATGTGTAGTTTTGTAAATTAGAAATAAGGTACCTATTTGAAATTTTTATTGAATTGATATTAATTTTTTTTGTGAAATTATTCCACTAGTTTGTTATAATTAATGAACATATTATATTAATGAAGTCAGTCGTAAAGTCCATTTCTCCTTGCACTCACTTAAGCGCCTCCAAAACGATTTACCTTTAAAAACCAAGATATGTTTAGTCCAAACACTTATTTTGCCCTTCTTAGACTATGCTGATTCCTGCTATTTGGTTGCTACTGAAGAACTGCTGAATAAGCTTGAACGACTGCAAAACCTATGTATAAGGTTCATCTTTGGGCTTCGTAAATATGACCGAATTTCACATTTCCGCAGTCAGCTCAAATAGCTTCCAATCCGTCTCTGCAGGAATTTGCATATTGTCTCCATTCTTTACAATATTTTACATAACCCTGTGTTTCCCGGGTACCTGAAAGAGCGTTTCAGCTTCCTTAGGTCCCAGGATAAAACCTGTCGCTCTCTTGTTAGGTCCCAGTTATCTTTTCCATGCTTCAATTCCGGTTTCTATTCTCACTCCTTCACTGTTCATGCGGTCAGACTTTGGAATGCACTTCCTATTACTGTTCACGAAAGTAAATCGTTAGCTAATTTTAAAGTGAGAGTTAAGGAGCATTATTTATCTACTATTCCATCCATATCTTAGGTATTATATTATAAAATATGTATTTATCTAAGTATTTATATAATTTATAACAATTTAATATTTTTATATATTTTTTTCCTTGTTTTGTTGTGCACATATGCCCGTTCTTTTAGTTATAGTGTCCTGTATTTAGGTCTGCAGGAAGAAATTTCTATGAGAAACAAGCAGAACCTTTTGTTTTTAATTTCGCTTGTATTCTTTGTGACTTGTTGTATTTTTCCTGTACAATAAACTATTAAATAAATAAATAATTATGAATACAAAGATCGAACGCTCAGAAAAAAACCTTCGATCCGGCCGGATTCGAACCGACGTCTTCTAACTTACCGTGCCAGACGCTATACCAACTAAGCCACGGAATGAACCAGCTGACCTCGCGATTTCTTTTTTCATTTTGGTTTAGCGTGTGACACCGTCGGCGCGATTATTAACAGTAAATACCTTTAATTTATTATCATGATTTCAATTCAAATCAGTAAACTAAATTTTAAATTCCGCTCATGATCTTTACAAAGCTTTTTGTATCAACAACTCAAGTAGTCTCTATTACTATATTATCGCAATTAAACTTTAAACCTTGTAACCTTTTTAAAAACTCATTCATCAAACATCACCAAAGAAAGTTGCGTACTGAGTAGTCAATCCCAGGAGATCGTACATCATCGCTTTCCCCCATTACGCTATATTACGGCAACTTGCGCGCGCGCATGATTTGTAATCAACAATTATTTTATACTGTAATTTTCATAGAATTGATACATTCATACAAACTTATTATTGTACAGTCACCGCCACATCTAATATAACAAATTATATTTTTAATGTCCGTTTCTAACTGTACTTTTTACTGATTGGATATGGTATCGAAAATCCATGGAAAATATGATGGAAAACGATATTTTCGACATTATTTCAAAAGTAGATTTTCGACTAGACATTCAGGCAATCAAAATAATTACATTTTAATCAAGTTACATATTAATTTCGCTTTCATAATAGGCACGTAAAAAACAAAGGATTCGTAATATAGTTCCAGACAAAGAGGACGTGATTTTATTACTTTCGTTCTTTTTTACTAACAACCTGTTCGTCCGGTCACTTAGTATCATAAAAAAGCTAGAAAAAAGGTATATAGAAACATAGATTTACAAAATTGCGTAACATAATGTATACTTATACATTTCGTTAACTGTACATAAACAAATGAAAATGAAATGAAAACTCGTATTTCTCTATTGGAATTGATTTATGTTGGATCTAGATTGTA